GGTGGTGGGTGTCCAACTGCCCCCCACCCCCATCTGGCCAGCCAGGCAGCGCCTATGCAGCCCAGAGGGGCACTGCTGCCTTCATCTCCCTCCCTCCCAGCCCTACTCCTGGGAGGCGGCAGCATGGGGTGGTGGGTAGCAGTGCTCCGTCCTCATCTGCCCACGTGTACCCCCTATGGCCTTCCCACATACTCCCGGTTGACAACCCCTGGTATACCACATTCCCTGGTCTCCCCGCATCCACACAGCCAGTCACCTCGTCATACATAGAAGGCAGTCAGGTTGGTCAACCATGACTTGCCCTTGGTGAATTCATGCTGACTGTTCCTAATCTCCTTCTCCTCCAAGTGCTTAGAAATTGATTCCTTGAGGATCTGCTCCATCATTTTCCAAGAACTGAGGTGAGGCGGACTGGTCTGCAGTTCCCTGGATCCTCCTTTTTCCCTTTCTTAAATATGGGCACTATGTTTGCCCTTTTTCCAATTATCCAGGACCTCTCCTGATCACCAAGAATTTTCAAAAGTAATGGCTGGTGGCTGTGCAATCTCATAAACCAACCCCCGGAGCAGCCTCAGATGCATCCCACCTGGCCCTATGGACTTGTATATGCCCAACTTTTCTAAATATTCCCTAACCTAGGGGTCAGCAACCCCCAGCACGTGTGCCACGCATGGCATGCAAGACCATTTTGCTTGGCACACCACTGCCAGCCCAGGCTCCAAGCAGCTGCTGCCAGCCAGGGAGCCCAGGCTGCTCCCAGCAGGCAGCTGGGAGGCTGCAAGCCCCTGTTGCAAGCAGACCGGGCTCCATGGGCTGGCTGCAGCTGGCAGGCTGCAAACAGCGGCATGTCGGCACTCCAGCACCTTCCAAGATAGACATTGTGGTTTTTTCAGCACTCTGGCCAAAAAACATTGCCTACCCTGGTCCTAACTTATTCTTTTGCCACTGTTAGCAGCTCACCTCATCCCCAAACTGTGCTGCCTGGTGCAGTAGTCTGGGAGCTGACCTTGCCCAAGGCAAGAGAGGCAATGAGTACTTCAGCCTTTTCTGCATCTTCTGTCACAAGGTTGCCTCTGCCATTCAGTAGAGGATCCACACTTTCCCCGATTCTCCTTTTACTGCCAACATACTTAGAGAAACCCTTCTTGCTACCTTTCACCTCCCTTGCTAGAGACAACTCCAATTGCGCTCTGGCCTTCCTGACTTCATCCCAGCATGCCCAAGCAATGCTCTTATGCTCCTCCCTATTTATTTGTCCAAGTTTCCACTTCTTATAAGCTTCCTTTTTGTAATTTAGTTTACTGAAGAGGTCTCTGCTAAGCCAAGCAGGTCTTCTGCCATACTTGCTAGCCTTCATGCACGTCGGGATGGTTTGTTCCTGCACTCTCAGTATGGCTTCTTTAAAATACAGCCACCTCTCCTGGCCTCCTCTCCCCCTCAGTCTGGCTTCCCAGGTGATCCTGCCCACGAGTTCCCTAAGCAAGTCCAAGCCTGCTTTTCTGAAGTCCAGAATAAACTGGTCGAGATCAGGGATGGGCAATTATTTTGGCTAAAGGGCCACTTAACGAGTTTCAGGAAGCTGTCAAGGGCTGCAAGAGTAGCCCCACACCTTGACAGATGCCCCACCATCTAGCTGCCATCTTGGGACCAGACATTCTGCCTCCGAACCCACTGACCTTTGCCACCAGAAGTGGGAGTGGGGGGCGTGCCATCTTGAAACCAGAAAAAAAAACAAGTCATATACGAAAAAAACAAAAACAAAAAACAAAAAAAAAACAAAAAACAAAAAAAATCAAGCATTTACTATGACTTATTTTAATTTTATTTAAAAAATATTTTTGTCCTGATTTATGTGTGTTTGCATAGTACAGCTATAGGCAATTGCATAATAGCTCAAAATACAGTCTTACTCTTGTAAACTGTGTGTGGCTGAGGTGTATGGGGTGTGGGAATGGTGGGTGTGGAGAGGTGTGAGTGCAGGGTATGTGGTTGCGGTGGGGAGGGGGGGAGTGTATGTGAGGGCTGTGGGAAGGGGTAGGTGCATCTGGGAGTATGGTGGAGGGTATGCAGGTGGGGGTGGTCCCCAGAGTTTCTAGAGTGTGCAAGTCCTTGAAGCTGCATGTGGTGGCAGTGAGCGGGGCCGGCCCTGCCCATCCCCATAGCATGTAGGTCCCTGCACTTCCACTCCAGTCCCCAGCCACAGGGGGTGGCAGCAAGCAGGGCCAGCCCCACCTGGCTCCATAGCACACAGCTGTCCAGCTGACCTGTTCCATGCTCCCACCCCAGTCCCTGGCTGCAAGTGGCGACAGCACACGGGCCCAGCCGCCGCCAACCCTGTAACACGCAGATCCTGCCCCAGTCCCTGGCTGCACACAGCGGCAACGTGCAGGGCCAGCCCCACAGCCCAATACTGCTCCCGGCCACATGTGACCTACCCTCTGCAGCAAGGAAGAACAGTAGTTCTTCTTAATGGCAGCTTTTCCAATATTTGGAGACTGTTATCATGTCCCCTTAATCACCTTTTCTCTAAGATGAACATGCCTAGTTCCCTCATACTTCCAACCTCTGGTTTGTGTCACTTGCCTCTTGATCCTACCTAGCTTCTCCACATCCTTCTTAAAATGTGAAGCCCAGAACTTCCCATAGTACTCTAAATGAAGCCTAACCAGCACAAAGTACAGAATAAGGTTATTAAGTTACAGCTTTTTCTAAGGCATACACTATACTTGCAAGGAATGGCATTGGAAAGATCTATTACAAAGACAGATTCAGCATCTGTTATCACAAGGACACCCAAGTAAACCCTGCGCATTTCTCCTTTCCCAAAAGAGCAGGTTTACATGTTTAGCACAATGGGAGTGTGTAGGTATACACACAAGCCACCTGCTTTCACTAACCGTGCCTTTCCACCTGTTCCAGGTTCTCTGCCTTCTTTCACAAAGAGAAATTTGTTAAGAAAAGCATTCCAAGCTCCATCCTCTCTTTCAAAGATTTTTAAGTCAGTCTGTGAAGTATTCTAACTCATACATGTCTGATGCTGCACGGTTTTCTTGTTGTGCCTACATACTGTGAGCTTCTCACAAAAAGCATCTGGTAGAGTCTTATCACAATTCTCCTTTCACAGCAATAAATCCATAGTTCAGGCATATAATATTCTCTACTGCTGCTATATTTGTCCAGTCTTTTTCTCTTGCTGCTCTCCTCCCTGTCTAATCTCTTCCCATCCTTCTCTGCTTAACTAATTCTGCAATTTACTTTTTTCTCTCCAAGATCACGTGTGGAAGGTTTCATTACCTGCCTCTGGCAAGCAAGTGTCTAACTGAAGCTTTCCTTGTCAAGGTGAAGATCTATAGGAGCTGCCATTTGGGAGGCAGAGAAAAATTTGTTGGGGAAAGTTCAGGCACAGGGGTGAGAGGGTGTGCATTTTTGTTTTACTTTCTTGTCCGAGACACTTGCCTGTGAAGAGGAGGCCTTGCTGGCTGAACTTATTTCTCAAATAATTCTAACAGCACTGCATCGTTTTCTGGTATTTCTTGCATTTTGCCTTTTCAAAAAGCCATACAGCGATCTGCACCAATTTAACTGTACTGGTTTTTAAAAATGGTTTCAAATTTAAGTATGTGTGGAAAAACTGCACTGGTAAGATGAATGTGCTAGTGCAGAGCCTCTATGGGGAGCAACTTGTACAGGTAAGTCAGACAGATGGTTTGAGTTGAAGCATCACATTTTACTTTCAATCAGCCGTGCGTGCATATAAAACTTTTTAAAAAGTCTATGTTCAAGTTCTGTCCTCATACACCCACCCATAGCTCCTCCTGATGTCTGAGTCTGGCCCTTAGCCAGTGAAATGCATCACAAAAGGGACTAATGAAAAACAAAAAATAAAGGCCACCACCCAAATGGAGACAACAGAATTGTCCAATAAGCCCTTTATTGTACAAGACAAAGAGAGGCTTCAGGACAACCAATTTTCCATACAATCAGACTTGCACAATATGCTTTTGTGCTTTGTAATGAACAAAGAGAGACACATACTAACATCTTCCATTGTCCATAATTAATTAAAACTACTACTATAGCTAAAATTCTGTTTGACCAAAATTTAAGTGCGGTACTTGCAAATACCTAGTGACCCTAGGATTTCAGAGAAATTTAGCAGTGGGTTTTATTCCTGAAAAACAAGGAAATAATTGTGCCTAGCTGTGTGACTTTTGGGCACATTGAATTTAAGATAATACAGCTTAAGACATCAAAATTTGGATTTGGCAGACACTAAGGAGTTCAGGATCATCTTCCTATTTATAGGGATCACACCAAAAAACACCACATAAAAAACACCTCATAGAAGTCTATTTAATTAAGCAAAATCTTGAAATGAGGTTGTGCTACTATTGCACAATTCATGGTCTTCAGTACATTATGCTATTTGATGTTATTTCATGAAAACTCATAACCAAGAAATCGGCATAGGAACCAAACAGAGTGATCATTTGTCAGGTACAAATTGATATGGAATTTTATATTTTGTTTGTTTGTTTGTTTAAACAATCCGCATTTCCTCTTGAAGTTGTTGCCCCATCAAGGGGTACTGGGTGTTGGGAGACATCAATATTACTTCAGTAGCATTTTTAGGGTCAGAAGTGGCTTGAGTCACCAAGTCACAGAACTGAGAAGATCAGAATTAATGAAATCTCTCGTGTATTCATCTGACAGCACAGAAGCTGATTTTACTATTAAACTCTAGTGTAGCAATGTGCAACTGGAGATCCCATCAGCTAAAGGAACTGCAAGGAAACAACCAACCAACAACAATGTATAATGCTGTGATGGCATAGTAATGCAACTTAAAGCCTCCTTCATATGTCAACAAAAGATTACAAACACAACATTGCAACTCAGCCATTATACCATGATATTTATATAGTTCTCTGGCACTGTCTTTGAACAACATACTGCCCCTTCCTCTTCTTTAGCAGCTGGCAGAGAAACAATCTGGCACAGAAAGACATGACAGTGGCACTGACAGATGTGACAGTTTGTCATGCAATCGACCACTTAAAGCACTCTACAGTCGTGCACTGGCAGATGTGCACAGCTGCAGAGCGCTTTAAAAATGCCTAAACAGGCAACAGAGTGTTTTAATTAAAGTCTGTCAGTGTGGCCAGGGGCAGGCCTCAGCTGACGCAGCTGAGCTCTGCTCCCTGCGCTGTCTTCAGAATAGGAGAGGGGGAAGGGAGAGGAGGGAGCTTGTTCTGGAGGCTGCCCAGCGGGTGCTGGAGGGTGGGATGGGTGGATTGGAGTGCCTGGGCTTGGGAGGGAGGGAAGGGCAGGACTAGGAGGATAGCAGCTGCAAAGATGCAGCTGCTCTAACCTGCAGCTCATCTCCCAATCCCCAAGACCCAACAGCGAACGTCTGTTGGGTCCCAGGGATAGATGTAACTCATGGCGCTTCCTGCAAAATGCCATGAGTTATGTCAGGGAGCTGCACACTTGTCAGGACCCCTTGTGACTAGCAGCTTGCTTAGCAATACTCTCACCTTGCAAGGCAAAGTATTCTGCCAATACAGATGTTGTGACTATTCTCCCTAAAGACTCCAGTAAAAGCTGTACAACTCCATACGTTATACATGCTTCTAGAGTGAGAAAACAAGCCTCAGATGGTACGTTATGGAACAGAGACAGTTATAGCATTCAGTAATGTTTTAGATAAAATTCTTAGCTTTATTTTCCACTTCTAACACTAGAACTTTCTTCTAAATCCTATCAAATACATTTTTGGAATGCTGTTTCCTTCATGATATCCTGTGTTTACAGACAATAGTGCACTGTGATTATACAGCTTTGTTGTCCATTGTCATGCTACTGAGACTAGCTCTTGGCACAGATGTATTTGTGGACTTTGATTGTTAAATGCATGGCAGAGACTGAATAGTCACTGAGTCTCTCTCTTCTCTCCATTTATAAAAGGTGGATACAGGTCAAATCAAAAGTATTAAGTAATTTTTTTAAAGACTGAATCACTTGAGCATGGACAAATCAGCACAGATGTAAAACTCTCTTGAAAGCTTGTGATCAAATGTCCTATCAGTCTGCAAATAAAAAGCATCAGAAAGCAAATCAGCCCTATGTGCATTCTCAGTTACCTTGTAACTGCTTAAAATTTATACAACTATCCATTCCAGTAACAATAAACCCACCAGTTATAAGTTACAACAATCTTTTAAGATAGTTGAAAACTGATTCATGGTCAGTAACTTTTGCAGTTGTTTCTGTGTCTTGTGATAGTGTCTCTACAGACTGCATTTACCTTTTAATGAAACAAGGGCCACAGGATACAAATTGATGGATCAAGAGGTAATGTTCTCCAGATGCTTTTTTAGTATTAAATAGCTCTGTCCATTCCTAGCTACCACAGAGGTGTATCAAAGACATCACCTGCAGAGCCCTATCATCCAGCCTACACTGCTGCCCATGGACCTCAAAACTGGAACTGCAAATGGCATGTGGGGCCAATCTGGGACATATACTGCACATGGGGCCAGCCTGTGGGCTGAATCTGCCCCTCAAACCAGCTGCACACCACTCATCTGTTCTTCAGGGAATGATGAGCCTGATACTCCTGATCTACCACATTGTTCAAATTGGAAATCAAACCCAGATTTTTAAGTTAAAATTTTAGAAAAACAGCTTCCCCTTCCCCCGTGCCCAATATAAATTGATGACCCAGATAAAGACCACTGGTGCACATACAAAAAATCTCACAGGAGGCTCAAATATCAAGGAAAAGACCAAAAGGGTTAAATGCATTAAAAATACTAAACTGAGAACCAGGGATCCTGGTTTTCTCTGATAAAAAAAATCTGTAGTTTTCAGATTTTTAATGTCTTTAACCCTTTTGGTCCTTTCTTTGGTATTTTAGTCTCCTGTGAGATTTGGTATGCACACCAGTGGGTCTTATCTGTGTATAGGCATCAGTGGTCTTTATCTGCTCCTGATTTTCTCTGATAAAACAAACAAAAACAATTTTCGGATTTTAAAAAAGTAACCCGAAATCCATGTTTTTCCATGATTAACATGAAACGCCACTATGGGTTACTTTTTCAAATCCGAAAATTGGGATTTATTTATTTATTTATTTATTTTTTTAATCAGAGAAAAATCGGGATCCCTGCTGAGACTACACTGAAGAAAACTGACTTGGTATTTTTACTGCATGCACAAAAACACTGCAAATACAGAAGTCAAGATGGTAAGGGACCTAATTACAGGTCAGCCCTGCATATAGAGCGAAATTACCATTGCTTTTTTGGAGAGTGGGAGAGGAAAAAAAAAAAAAACCTAAAAATAAATCTACAGTATTTTTCCCAAATATAGAACATCCCCATATATACTACACACCTTATTATTGAAACCCTAAGTTAAAAAAAAAACAAACAAAAAAAACCTGCGCTCTCTGGGGCTGGAGGCCACTCACTGGTCCTGACCTTGAGCCAACATGATGATGCTGGGCCTGTGCAATGGACCTGATCCTGCATCCCGTCACTTGGGCCACATGGCAAGTCTGGGAACCCACAACTGGCTCTGGAGCCATGTGCTAGGTCTGATTCAGCACATGGTCCCCAGTCCTGGACTTGGTGCACCCAGATCTGGCACACAGCTCTGGAGTCAGTGCAGGGTCCCAGACTCATTGCACAGCCCCAGTGCCAGGATGCTAGATCAGGCCATATCACATGGCCCCAGCAGCAGTATGCTGATACTGGGGCCATGCAGTGAGTTGAGGACCCCACACTGACTCTGGAGTCAAGTCCACTGAGTCCAGGACTGTGCACTGGCTTGGAGCTATGCATCATGTTGGACCCAGCACATGGCTCCAGAGCCAGCACAGGATCTTCAACTTGCTAAGCAGCTCCAGTACTGGAATGGAAGATCAGGCCCTGCCACATGGCCCCTGAACACCAGCATGTCAATACAGGGGCCATGAGGCAAGTCTGGGACCCTGCATGGGCTCTGAAGTCCCATGCAAGGCTAGGCATACCAAGTCCAAGACTGTGCACCCCAGAGCCATGCAGTTGCAGATCCAGTGCACAGCGCTGGACCCAGTGCTCCAGCCGAGGACCAGCCAAGACAGCAGCCTAATCTGTAACGCATCTTGGAAGAGGGACTCTCTATCAATCAGGAAATCTGGCAGTGGGGGACAGGGATCAGATGGGGAGGGAGCAGTGCAAGTAATAAATTGCCATGGTTCTCAGAGCCACAGCAATTAACACTGCCACCATTCTGCCTACCAAATTGTTGGATCTATTGGGAGCCCTTTTCCTCACATATCATGCGCACCACAAATGTCCACAGCTGATTTTGGAGGAAAAGACAAAAGTCACATACAGAAAATATGGTATAATCAAAACAGAGCAGATCTGACACACAGCAAAAAACGCTCCGGAGTCTCAGTCTTGATTATTGATAACAGTGGCACATGCTTAGAGAAGAGCTCAGCATACACCATCACAATTATTCTCTGATCTCTTAGCCTTCAGTTAAATTCAAAATAAAGTTTACACTGTTTTTAATTTCAACTGTAAATAATTAAATAATGGGAGGGGGGGGGGGGAGGCAATAAAATCCTTTAGGAATATACAGCATTGCCAACCCCACCGTGTTAAAAATCTTGAGACAAACTCTTTAAAAAAAAAAAAAAAAAATCAAGATATTTGGTATGTAAATCATGAGATGCTATTTTTAAGTGGGGGGGCAGTGAGTTGTGAAGGTGTAAGGAGCTGTGGGTGTGTGAGGTTTGGAGTTGGGGGGGGGGCTGCACACCCTGGGAAGATGTGGGATACTATGGGTCAGGAGTGAGGGGCAGCAGCAGGGCTAGGGGTGGGCTCTGGCTTGGAAGTGAGAAGCAGACAGACACACAGATGAGTTGGGTCATGTGACAGCCGCAGGGCAGCTCCCCAGCATTGTGTGCACCCTTGGGGGGGGGGGGGGGGGGGGGGGGGGGGGGA